AAAACTATATATTTTGTGGACTACTGATGCTGCGAAATGCGATCTCTCCTTTTTCAATATTTAAAAACATTGCAATCTTGCAAATTATTCTCTTATTATTGCGGCTTTTTTTAACTGAATTTAATCCAAATAAGCTTAAGTTTAGAGTGTACAACTTCATATTACCCAAAATCCTGAAATCTAATTTTGGTAATGATAATTATAATGAGATTATAGCATGTTTCCTATCTTATTTTTGAGTGCTTCATCCAATTTCAGGCAAATTCCTTTCGGAACACCTGGTGTGGATGTACGGAAACTATTTAAAGTTGAAGCACTTTTTGTTCTTAAAACGAGGAGGACGAAAGGAGCGACGAGAACATGTGTGTGCACACTGCCAACGACATGGTATAGGGCACGATATGCACATCATCGAAGAGCAAAGGTCCTGTTTTGCCTTGAGTGGTTTTATAGTCTGAAGCAAATAATCAAATGGTTTCAGAATTCCTGCATTCCTGGTGCTAGCCATTCTTGTCCTCTATACGGCACTTGGAGGTGTTCTCATGTCAAAGATAGAACCGTGGACGTTTTTCACTTCATTTTATTGGTCATTCATTACAATGACTACTGTGAGTTCCTTTTTTCTTGAAAAGAGGAGTAAATCACAGATAAAGTGAGACAGAGATAACGTCACTTTCATTTTTTCTTCCCATAAACGTCCCTTTTTTCTACGTTTTTGCCCTCAATCTTGTATTTCAGGTCGGGTTTGGTGATTTGATGCCACGTCGTGACGAGTATATGTATATCATATTGTTATATATTATCTTAGGTTAGTTTTAACCAATTATTATTGTTGTTATATCAGAAGAAAAAAGCTTTCCTACCTGATAATGCAAGAGATATGCAAAATATATGCGAATGGCAGCTAAGTCATTTTTCCACTACTGCTTAAGTTTCTACCTTGTATGACTATATTTCTCAAAATCTATGTTTGGGACGGTCAAATTTCAGCAAACAGAAGCAGCTGAGTTTTAAGATTTATGGCTTCCTGGGAAGAATATTAATTTTCTTCATGGGAAGACAACCTCGAAAGTCAGCTCTTGCGCATTATCTTGTTAAGATACTTATTAGAATCAGAAATTAGACTTTAAAGAATACAAAGGTTCTTCAAACATTTTCATGAAAAAT